TGTTTTTGAAAGTCAGGATTTCTTTTTCTCAATGTGATTAGTTCTATGATTGAGAGTTAGAGTTTCATATTAAATCTGGAAGGTAATTTATATTTTGACAACTATATTTAAACTGTTCATCTTCTTCTCCCAACAGTCTTACGTACTTCTTGGACTTGTAATTGTTTTTCCTCATCTCACTCGATTAATTACATGGTGTAAAACCAAAGTTCTTGGTAAGTAACAAAATTCTTAGGCATATGTTCAGAATAGGCTGTCAACATGTTATGCAGGCAGCCCAGAATGAAGTGATTTCAGTGCTGCTTTCATTTTCATTCTCGGTACATAGTGATTTTAGGGTTTATTGATGTGCTTCTAAACAGTGTCTCCCTTGCTCCCTGTTTTCCCATAATTTTGATGAGATTTGCTTAAGACACAACACATTTAAAGATAATTTCCCAGTGCAAAACCTTTCTGGTTTGTCTTGATAGTTCAAGTGCATGCAGACACATGTAGGTATATGAATGATGGCATCAGGCCGTCTATCCCTTTTCCCTCCTCAAGAGGGAGAATGGAGATAGAAGAACATAAGGAAGCAAACTCTGTGCCTTCATCACTGTCTTCCCTGCAATGCTGAATAGTCACACATTTTCAAACAGGCAAGTGCTGCACCTGTAAATCAAACTTCCTCACAATAGTCAACTGTTCAGGGTATTATATCTTATTAATCTAACTACTTGTTTCCTGTAATTACACCTGCTTTGCACTCCTGTGGAACCTTAACCTTTTTCTTTGTCCAGTCTTTACACCTGAAGCAGTGTATTTTGGCTAGCTAGGCAGTTCTGCATTCAGTGTTTAGAGATGGATTTGACATTTCTTATAAAAGCTACACCTTTTGACAAAAGGCTTGAATTATTTTAAATGAGGTAATCCGATATCCCAGTTCAGCTCCCATGCTCAAGACAGGTTTTTTTCTGCCATGTAGTATAAGTTCTCCAAGCTGTAGAGGCCCTACAGCTATTAGGGCTTCCTGAGGTGCAGCATCTGATTTGTTTTGTTCATTACAGCTTTGAGTCATTATTCACTTGGTGGAAATGGTTTGCCATACAGTTTAAAGGACAGAGATTTTTTTTGTTGTTGTTCCTGAAGCAGTTGTTTTGAAAGAAACCAATTTCAGGTTTGTCAAAATGTCAATATGTCAAAAAAAGTGAGTCAATGACATGTGTGGATGACTGGCATCCTTTTGTCTAAAGAGAAATTTTGGCAGATGGGGAAAAAGGGATGTCACTGTAGGTTGTTGAACTACCTTATTTTATACTTATTTTCATTATTAAGCCTCTGGGTTTGTTTCCAGGTCAGAGAGGTGAAGAGGAGGAACATCATAGCTTAGAAACCTTCACTTTTTACCTCAGTGAGCCTCTGAGTAAGGAACGAGTAGAAGCATTCAGTGATGGAGTCTATGCCATTGTAGCAACTCTGCTCATTTTGGATATATGGTAAGGCTTTGTGCTAGTTCTTACACTTCATCTTGTTAAATATATTAACTTTTGTCTGTATATAATATTTGAGGAAACAAAATTAATCAAACATTGTCTTTGACTTCCAAAATCTGCAGCACAGTATTTACTTTAAAGTATGATTTTCTGTAAGGACACAGAGCACAAACCAAAGATACCTCTGACACCCACATTCCAGCAGTAATGATCATCAGTGTGCGTAATATGTATTGGGGTGTAGAGTCTTGAAGAACAGTTTCCTTTTTTGTTTAGTTAAATTTTCAGATGAAAGCCTTTTATCAATAAAAGCTGTTTAGTCACTGTAGGGACTATTAACCCAAAGGAATTCCAACCTGCATTCAGATTTCCTTTTATATATGATTTCTTTGCAGAGCTGTTATTTGAAACAGTTTCTAAATGATAGATTTAAAAAGTACAGAGTGGATTCTTGTTGTTCAGTACTTGCTCAAACTAAAGCAGCATAGTTCAGTCTTGCTCCAGATGTGTTTTTATAACAATAATATGCAGAGTAAAGTAATTTTTCTCTCCACAGTGAAGACAATGTTCCTGATCCTGGAGAAGTTGAGGAGAAGTTCCATGGCAGTCTTCTTGAAGCTTTAAGTGAATATGGGCCAAACTACCTTGCTTATTTTGGCTCATTTGTTACAATTGGTCTCCTGTGGTTTGTCCATCACTCTCTTTTCCTTTATGTAACAAAAGCTACCCGATTAATGGGACTGCTCAACATACTTTCATTGGCTTTCATTGGTGGGCTTCCACTAGCTTACCAGCTGACCAGTGAATTTGCAGAGAAGTCTCATAATGAAATAGAAGCCATTCAGGTCAGCTGCGTTATCACTTTCTTTGCCAGCATATTTCAGTTTGCAATATGGACTACAGCCCTCCTTAATGAAGAGGAAACTTTGCATGCCTTTGCTAGGTATGGTGGCAAGGAGCATGCCTTCATGTTTGCCAAGCTGGCTCTCTACCCCTGTGTAAGCCTAGGGGCCTTCTTTCTAACTTGCTTGTTAAGTGAATTTAGCACAGCAATTTTCCATCTTATGCAGATTGTAATCCCATTTGCTTTTCTTGCCTTACGCATTTTTGTTAGAATTTCTTTAACTGCCATAAAGTCTGTGATGTCTCTCTCCAGACACAAGGTTGTATTGTTAGAAGAGGAAGAGGCATGTTTGTCTCCAAATGAAACAGTGTCCTAAATTTCCGCACAGTGCATGTGAAGTTACAAGATCAACTTCAGTTCCTCTGACTCGCATTATATTTCTGTGTGGATTATATTGATGTAAACCAAAGCCTGTATTGACCATAACTGCGGCATATTTATGTTTAAGCTGGTCATGCTCGAGACCCTTTCTCCAAAATCTGCTATTGAAAATATTGGGTAAACAGGGGATGCAAAGAAAAGCATGTTCCCCTTCTTTTAGGGTTGCCCTATAGGAAAAATGCTGCTTGACATGTAACTACAGCAATGATCGATTAAAAAGTGCACAGACACCCAGCAAAATGGCAGCAAAAACACAGGCATAGAAGTGGGTTGAGCTTCTGTGTAAGAGAATGTGAGGCATGGAAAACATGGAGACCTGAATTTCTGGATGGCACATCATAGTAGAACATACGTGCATACAAGTTACTGATTTCCTTTTTTTTCCCCTTTTTTCTTTTTTTTTTTTTTTTCTTTTTTCGGGTTCTTATTCAGTGGTTACACTGTCTGTTCTGCATAATTACAAACAGGGGATAGCAGTTGGAAATCTAACTGTGTTTGAGTTGCTCTGTGTGTGAGTTTAGATTGGAGTTGCAATTGTGATAGCAGTCTTCCAAGCCACCTGAACACAAGTTCTTTGGGCATATCCTATTCTTTTTTTAAAAAGGATCTAACAAATGAGGATTCATGTGCGTTTGCATCCAAGTTTTAACTAGCTTTGATATTTTCTGAGGGAAAAGAGCTCTGTGATTAGACATAAGGTTTTTTTGTGTTTTGCAGAAACTGCTCATCTGAAGTGTTCATATTTCTCAGGCTTTTTATGTCTGTTTTATGTCTGTCAATGGAACATCCTTCTGTTACTCAGAAGGCATGGTGTCATATTCAAGAAGAGTATGAGATTGCAATGTGTGAGAGTTCCACATTAGGTAAAGGAGTTGAGCTCCTTTAGTTGTGGACAACTAAAGGGTCCCACAGATTTCTGTGTCTCAGGAAGACAGCAGAAGAAACTAACCCCTAGAAGTTCCTGTCCTTGATATGTTGAATTGTTTTATTTACACTTACATGCAGCTGGATAACTTTTGTGCTTTTCCAATCATCTAAGCTCTGGCTGCCCTAGAAGCCATTACATTGCCTTTGGCAGAGTGATTAATTTGTATCTTGAATTGTCTTAGTGCCTGACAACTTTAATGCCATAATTAAAGGCATTTGGGGAATTTTGCTGTTCATCATTAAAAAAAAAAGTGGCAAAATATGCCTGAAGAAATTATATGTGAAATCAAATTCAGATATCTCGTTTCAGTTGAGATCAGTCTTAAAAGCACTTGTGCTTTTGCTTTGAAGCACCTTGATACCGAATACGTAATTGTGAATATTACATACTTCTTGTGAAGAGTATGTTCAGCTATTCAAGGGGATTTATACCTAATTGTGGTTAAATTACTTATATTGTGTTGTGTATAGCAGTTTTTCTGATACTTAATGAAAGCACTTTTCTGTATGGTTTTGTTCCTAATGTGCAGCAGATACATAGTAAGTAGTGAATATGTGTATTTGTAATAAATTGCAATCAGTGAAAAAAACTTTAAGCCACTTATTTCTTCTCTGTCAGTGAGCATTAAGGCTGATAACTAAATTTATGTTAGGTGGGTTTTTTCCTACAAGATCACAAGGTCAACCTCAGCAGTTTTGTGATTTTTTTTATAAAACACCAAAACACTTTTAATGTGATGTAAAGAAATGTTAGACCACCTAGTCTAACCCTCTATCTTAAAGTAGGGTTGGCTAGACTGGTTGATTGCAGAGGTCTGTGTCCAGTCAGACTGAACATCTGCACAGAGACACCATAACCACTCAATAGCTTGTAGCATGATGGAGTCATTCAGGTTGGAAGAGACCTTTAAAATCATCCACCCAGCAGTGCCACTGTAAGCTCTAGACCAGTAAACAACATCACCTGCACCAGATCCTCATGCTTCTCGAACACTTCCAGGGATGGTGACTCCATCACCTCCATGGCCAAGCTACACCAATATCTGATCACCCTGACAGTGAAAATATTTTTCCAGTATCTGCTTTCAAAGGGCTCAACAGGTTTTAATGTCAAATTATCCTTGGGAGTTAAAAAAAAAATATATATTTCAGTCTGTGTCCTTTTATCATTGAAAAGCATTGATGAGATTCCCCCGAGATCCTTCTCATAGCTCCCTCAGCCCCTCCTGGTGGCGGAGGCGCTGCGGGCCGGGCGCCGCCGGAGCTCTTTGAGTGACGGACGGGCCGACACTCGGGAAGCAGAGCGCAGCACAGCGTTTGGCTTCCAGGTCACGGCTGCTCCCCGCCCCTTACCCCCGCCGCGCTCAGTTCTGGCCGCCGTCGCCGCCAGGATGATCCCACCGGTGCAGGTCTCCCCGCTTATCAAGGTGAGGGCGGTGCGGGGATCACCCGGGCTGTCCCGGGGCGCGGGGAGGGCCGCCCGGGCCGGCGGGCTTGGGCGGGGGGCGGCGGGGTCCGGCCGTGCCTGTGAGCTGAGCGAAGGGCGCGTCCTTGTCTCTGCCTCCCGCAGTTCACCCGGTACTCGGCGCTGCTCGTGGGGATGATCTACGGCAAGAAGCGATACGGTGAGTGGAGCGTCCCGGGCGGCCGCTCCCCTCTCCCCCGCGCCCGCCCCGCAAGGGCACCTTGAAATGGCCCGGCCGCCATTTCCCTCCCCCGGCCCGGCCACGGCCCTACCAGGGTGGCCCTGCTTGTGTGAGGCCAGAGATCACTATGAAATGTGCCTTTCTGTCTGCAAAACTGCCTTTTTCTCCTGTTTGAGCGAACCCGCAGGAGCGGAGCTTTCCGCCGGGGGGTTGGGAAGTTGTGTTTTAAAGGGATTGTGTTGATGGCAGACTACCTGAAGCCGATTGCTGAAGAAGAAAGAAGAATAGAGGCAGAGGAGAAAAAGAAGCGTGAAGAACTGGAGCGGATTGCAAAAGAGATTGCAGAAGGTAGTTCCTCGGTTTAGTGTATTCATCCCACGCTGTCTTGTAGGTGTTAGGCTACAGAACTGGTGTTCCGCCGCAGTGCTCTATAGAGAAATTGAGGCCTGCAGCTAATCCTTGGAGGTGGTGGTTAGGGCTGTGTGAGGAGTAAATAGTGCTGGTGTTTAACTATGCCTGCATTTTGAAAAGCTCATCACAACAAGAGTTAACAGTTTTATGACAGTCAGGACTTGTTAAATGGCTGAATTTCTGCTGAGGAAACAAGCTGCTAAAAGCTGCTGGTTATTCTGTGAGGAGTAACTGAATCCATATATCAGCTGTGGCATTATGTGTCTTACTCTGGATGTGCAAACCCTTTTCTCTGTGCAGTGTAGAAACCTCACAAATACAGCTGAATATAGGGCATAGGCAATGCTATGTAATTGCAACTTGAGATTTTTAAGTGGTGTCACATGTTAGAGGTCAGCTTGATTTTTTTGCAGCATTAGAGGTCAGCTACATATGCTGTATCTCTCACAGGAAGAGGATGTGTTGGAGAGCATCACTAGCAACTGTTACTGCTGCATTTGTTCTCATTCCCTTCTCCTACTGCAGCACTGTTTCCCTTGTCCTTAGGATTATTTCTGGTGTTCCCTGTACAGCTCTAACAGAGGATTTCTTCCCTGCTGCCTAACAGAGGAACATGCTCTCTAGCTTTGTTTCACCTAGGGCTTTTAGGTGGACTTAAAATTAAGAAGAATTTTAAGAAAATTGATTAGTAACTCAGGCTGTTATTGATGCAGATACATGCTCAGTAACTTTCCATGCAAAAGAGTGACATTTGCATTGTTCTAAACAAAACACTGAACTTAACTACACATACAGAAAATCAAATATGTTTTGTATATGATTTACTAGATAGACCTATTTTGCCTTCTTAAATACATTGTCATGTATTGTAATTGTCATTGCCATGTTAGTCATGGACTAAATAAATGGGTCTTTTAGATGTTCTCTAGTTAGAGGAAACTTTATGTATTTTTGGAGGTAGAGATTGTGCTGTAATGTTGCCAGGCCACCTAGTAAGGAAATTTTCTTGATTATTGCTTTAGAATGTTTAGTGTGTTTAAAAGTGGCACAGAAGTGACAGGTCTGTTGTTTCTGTTTTTTTCAGAAAAGCAGTTGTTAGACTCTCATTATGTGCAGTGCAGTTGCCGAAGATTGTTCCTTAAAGATGGATACAGCTCTAGTGGTAGCTTTTTCTGGGCTTATTTGACTTGTCAGTTCAGAAAACTGTCTTTCACTACTGAGTAATCTTAAAAGTTTGCCTTCACCCCAGAGCTGTGAATTACAATTCTGTTGAATAAACAGAAGTGGGAATCATAAACACTAGCCAGAAAGAAATTACATAAAGATAGTCTTTGATTCCACTAATGATTTGCATATTTTAGTTCTGCACGGGAGTGGCTAATAGTCCTAACCATGTTTGTGTTTTCTTCCCTTTTAGCAAGTGAAGATTCCATCCTGAAATAGACAACAGATTTCATCTGAATTTCACACATGCCTATGCTCTGAGCTGACCAGTGGCTTTTGAACTCTGTGTGATAATCTATCAATAAAGTACTTACTACTTCAGTTGGTGTTTCTTGAGTGAATTGCACAGAAGAGCAGCAGAAACAGGGACAGAATGTGACTGGAAGCAACTGTCACAATCTAGTTATTGTTGCTACTGAAACAGGCCATTGTATTCCCCCAGCAAAAGCCAGTGGCTTCCCCCATTATCTACAGGTAATGACTGTGATCAGAAAATACATACAATTTTATATATATGGGCAGATGGTGGAGACTGGGAAGGTACTGACTGCATGAATCTGTTACTTAAATGGCTTGACTGGGGAGTTCCATAGAATGTTAAGGGTTGGAAGGGACCTTCAGGATCATCCAGTCCCAACATCCCCCTGCCATGGGCAGAGATACCTCTCACTAGATCAACTTCCTCAAAACCTTCTCCAGCCTGCCTTTGAACAGTGCCAGTGTTGGGGCACCCACAGCTCCCTGGGCAACCTGTTCAAGTGTCTCACCACCCTCCCAGCAAAGAATTTCTTCCCAATATTTGACACAAATCTCCCTTCTTTCACTTCGTACCCACTACACCTTGTCCTGTCACAGCAGTTGCTGATGCAGAGGTCCCTCTCCAGCTTCCCTGTAGGACCCTTCAGATACTGTAGAGGTGCTAGGAGGTCTGCACACAGCCTTGTCTTCTCCAGGCTGAACAGCCCCAGCTCTCAGCCTGCCTGGGGGAGGTGTTCCAGTCCTCTCATCAATGCCGTGGCCTCCCCTGCACTTGCTCCTACACTTCATGTCCTTCTTACGCTGGGGGCACCAGAGCAGTTCTCAGTGCTCCAGGTGGGGTCTCACCAGAGTAGAGCAGAGGGGCTCTCCCCTCCCTCCCCTGCCACCCACGCTGCTTTGGATGCAGCTCAGGATCCCATTGGCTTTCTGGGCTGTGAGGACACATTTCTGGGTCATGTTGTGTTTTTCATCAAGCATCACACCCAAGTCCTCCTCAGGGCTGCTGTCAATCACTTCTCCATTCAACCTATAGCTGTGTCTGGGATTGCCGCAACCCAGGTACTTTGCACTTTACCTTGTTGAACTTCATGGGGTTTGCACAGCTCCAGCTCCACCTCTCCAGCCTGTCCAGGCCCCTCTGGATGGCATCCCTTCCCTCCAGCGTGTTGGCTGTCCCACACAGCTTGGTGTTGGTGGCAAACTTGCTGAGGGTGCCCTTGATCCCACTGTCCATGTCACTGACAGAGGGGTTGAACAGTGTCAGCCCCAGCACTGACCCCGGAGGGACACTGCCTGTCACTGGTCTGCATGGACAATGAGCTGTTGATCACAATTCTGCATTTCTGTCTTCTTTTCTGCTTTGTTATCAGAGTGGATTATTGCTCAATTTTTGCAAGTGGCAGAGCAGTCAGATTTGATTCTGGGTTGTCAAGCTATGCTGTGATCTGAGGAACTGGTGGTGACTCATTAGTCAGATGTTCTAAACATTACAGATGGACAGATGTTCCTCAAAACTAAGTTACAGCGGAATTGTAGTGTGTGTCTTTCATAAAGAGTGACTTGCTATTCATCCTGATTATACAGGAGAGGTCTGCCTGTCACTTTCCATACAGTCTTCATATACTGGCTTCAGGCAAGAAAGCTATCCTTGTAATACCTTTAAGATTGGGAAGAATTCCTACATGGGGGTGGGAAAGGTACCGTGTATCTCTTGACAGGCATCCCATAGGAACCAAATTAGTTCTCTGCCATCATATTCTGATCAGACAATAGATGATTATCAGGTTCAAGCAAAAAAAAGGCCAAGAAAAGGAAAGAAGCAATGAAAAAAAGTCCTCTCAAAGGGTATGAGAGGGAAGACCCCTCATGTTTGTTCTGTATTCTGGAAAACACTACATCCACCTGTTCTTCTGCTAAAACTACATTTGTGTGACTCCTGAGTACTCTGCTGCTTCTTGAGAGTGAGTTGGCTGGTTTTCTGCTGAATCTACTGAATGTTTTTTTCTAATCCTATAGTTTTGTGGAAGGAGTAGAGGAAGAGGTACAGAGAAAAAAAGATCTTCCTCTTAAAGTTTTATTATCATAAATGATGATGCAAAGCACTCAGCCTAGATCCACTGAGTGGATCTAAAGTCTTGGATCTAGTACTCTCTGGGCTTTCATGGAGATTTCCTTATACAGGATCTGAAGATGCTGGTAGGACAGAGCCCTCACAGGTGTACCATGTGCACCAAGACATGCAACCCATTTGCCTGAAAGGTGGAACACCACATGCCCTTCCTGTGGTGTTCAATACCATCTCTTTGTTTGAAGAACCAATTAAAAGTTGAGTTGTTCCTGTCCTGCCTGCCTGGGAGGAGAGGAGCACTTCCTGGGCTTAGTTCAAGTCAGGCTTGAACCAGCTTGGCCAGCTGAGAAAAGACAGTAAGCATTTCTCTCAGATCGACAAGAGGTGGCTGAAGACATTTTCCAATCTCCATGTCAATTGTTCCCTCCTTTTCTGCCAGAACTGCCACCCTCACAGCTCTGCCAGCAGCAGAGGTCTTGTACGTGCTTCCCCATCTCAGATTGTGCCAGGTGAGGCGTCTCCACTCACAACCCAGTAGCAGTCCAGACTTAGCAGAACAAATGCCTGAAGGACATTGTCATGCCAACCCACCACAGGCATACACAAGCTCTTTTTCACTGGCAAAGAGGTCCTGTCTTGTGTCAGCTTGTCCTACCCCTTCCATCGGGGACAGCCGATGATGGCCAGGATGCAGGATCAAAAATCAGTTTCTCAATCAGGCAAGCCTCTTCTCCTGCATGGATGGAAGATTTACATTCCAGCCCTGAGCATCTCTCTTAGAAAACCTCTCCTGCCAGTCTCACAGGGATATTAATTTTCCTACCCCCACAACCACCACCTTCATAACCAAGAATGGAGGTCTGTATGTATTAGCTGCTTCAGTGAGGCACGTACAAAACAGAGGTCCCCTCTGGTCTCCCACCACACTTGAGAGCTGTGTCAAGCCAAAGGTGAAAACACTTAACTGAATTGTAGGCAAATATGATCAGATTTAAATTCTTTACAACCCTCAACAGACCTTTCCTGAAACTGTGTTGCAATGGCATACATCTTTTACCAGGCCTGGTGTTCTGACCTGGCTTTGAATCAGGGTAAGTGAGTGTTAATAGATCCCTTGGGTGAAATAGCATGAAACAGCACTAAATGACTCATATGCATACATGAGGCAGGTTTATTTTAAAACAATTTGCAGTAGAAAGGAGGTATGTAGCTGTACTGGTTCTATCAAAAAAAAAGGTAAAAATATCACAAGGAAAATACCTAAGGAAATTAAGAAACAGAAGGAAAGGACAAGAGTGGATAGTGGAGAGGAAAGATCCAGTGACAAGATTTGATTGTTTCAATTTTAGTTGCATGGTCATCACTCTGATGCTCACAGTCTTGATCTTCTTGATCTGGATCTCCCCACCTCGTTGGGGGTAGAGGCCCATGCAACAAAGAGGAGTTCCATGGGTTATTATCTGTACAAGCCTATGTGGGAACACCCTGATACCTCCCCTGGAGAGGGGTTTTACAGTACCTGATGCAACACTGTGGAAATTAGTCTGGGTGGTTCTTCAGGCATCTTTGATGGGTTAGGTTGCCTTCTAATGGCACAACTTGCTGTTTGGCCCTGCTTCTGGCAGCTGCATAGTTTTGCAAGTTGTGCCTTATCAGAAAGGAGAAATACCCTCAGGCCTATGTGTGAACACCTGCATGCCTCCCCTGGAGGGAGAATTTTGCACTGTTAGATGCAGTTGTGCCCCACCAGAAGGAAGGAGATTGGTGTGATAAAAAGCATTACCCTACCTCTGCAGGTCCTGCTTCTGGTGTGCCTTTTCCCCTATATGTTCTTAAAACACTTTGTTTGAGACAACAGTCTCAGGTTCTCATGGAAACTGTCTCAATCAGCCCACCCAAGCAAAGCTTGGTCCATCACACCTGGGAAAGCAGTGAACAAATCTATTTCTTGGCCCTTTCCTTCCTCCATGTCTAACATATCCAGTCAGCTGGCTCCCAGCTGCAAAGGCAGACCACTGCAGGAGGAACTACGCCAAATTTCACCTGCATCTAACTGGCCAATACATCCACTGAGGAACACTCACGGCTCTCATGGAAAGGGTTCACCCCTGAGAAACAGCCTCTTCCACTGGCACGCCACTCAGAGCGTCCATGGACACCTTGTGCATGCATAGTCCCCTTTGGAAAACCTGAGAGCATGCCCTCCCTGATGCCATGAGGATGTGCTGTGCTCCCAAGTCCATGTGTGCAGTCACGGCACAGCCACCCACAACTCACAGGGTGTGATCGGCAGGCACCCCATGCTCCTTGTGTGAGCAGCCCTGCTGGAGCACCCTGCAGTTCTCTGAGTGCTTCACACTTGTTACAGGGAGCAGAAAGGTTAGCCTCCAGATTTTATTTCCCAGATAACTTTTGAGAACATAAGGAGCTTTTCTCAGCATTTAAGTGTACAATATCTTGGGGTGATCATCAAAAGCTCACTGCTTACTACCGTGCCATACAATAACCTTGTGACATTTTTTTCTGCTTAAAAAAAAACACAGAACAAAACTTATTTGACTTCTTTTGCTGTATGATAAAAGCTTCCCATATAGTCCTCTACTCTTATGAGACACCACTTGGAGCACTGAGAACTGCTCTGGTGCCCCCAACATAAGAAGGACATGGAAGTGTAGGAGCAAGTGCAGGGGAGGCCATGGCATTGATGAGAGGACTGGAGCACCTCCCCCAGGCAGGCTGAGAGCTGGGGCTGTTCAGCCTGGAGAAGACAAGGCTGTGTGCAGACCTCCTAGCACCTCTACAGTATCTGAAGGGTCCTACAGGGAAGCTGGAGAGGGACCTCTGCATCAGCAACTGCTGTGACAGGACAAGGTGTAGTGGGTACGAAGTGAAAGAAGGGAGATTTGTGTCAAATATTGGGAAGAAATTCTTTGCTGGGAGGGTGGTGAGACACTTGAACAGGTTGCCCAGGGAGCTGTGGGTGCCCCAACACTGG